GACTGTCTCGGGCCTTGCCCACTCCAGTCCTGGAAGTTCGTTAACTTCCTGCCCGGGAGCCCATTCCACCCAGCCGGGGGCCCCGGAAGGAGAGGGTGCCGGCACCCCCAGGAAATGGACTTCTCTTGTCTGAAACCTCGCCTTGTGCTTTCATCCCGGGCAGGTTGGCTGGACCTGCTGCTCCCCAGCCTTCAAGGTCCAGTTTAACGGGGATCCCGGGGGTCGCCCCCCGTGGATGCTGGAAAGTGATTCTGCGCCCGCTGTGCTGTGGCGCCCGGGCTTGGACAGGCATAGGTGTCTGTGGCACGACCTCGGTGCAATTTTTCTTTTCTGTATCTGGGTCCCCGCCGTCAGGTTTTACTCTTCCAAAGGTTTAGGTCTCTGCTCTCTTTTCCTGTCCCAGTCTAAAACAACCGAGCAAGAGACTATTAGGAGTAAGGTCATCTGTTCATAATTTAATTGTGCTGTCTTTGAAATCACCATCTCAAAACATTTTTGTTTATCGAAAAACTGAAGCACAACTAGAGTTAAGGATTTGTTAAGTGCATCGAAAGGCTTGGGACGTGTTTAGTTAGAGAAACTTACTGGAGATTTTGAAGGGAGCCATAGAGGGCAAACCGAGCTCACTCCAGTCACAGGCAGAACTGGCTCCGGACTCCTGCTTGGATGACCTTGTCAGACATGGTCCAGGTTAGATTCGCAGACTTCTGTGAGGTCAGGGATTGTGTCTCATAGCTTTTCGTTCTCCATATTAGAAAATAGTATTGGCTGGGTGTGTAGCTGAGTGGAAAAGAAAGTGTCCTGGTCCCATCCCCTCTTGAATAAATTAATGAGAAAAAGAGAATATGATGCCATGAAAAGATTAGTGGAGCGAAATCCCCTGAGCAGTCAGTATAAGGATAAAGCCACTAAGCACACCCGAACGCTTGCGCGCGCACACACACACACACACACACGCACGCACTCACAATTTTGGCTGTACTAGGTTGGTTTTCTTAGAACCTGAATTGTGTAATATATTCCTGGACCAGGAGGTTATCTCTAAGTCTCTCAGCTGTTCTGCAAGATAAATGCTATTAATCCCATTTTTCAGTGAGAGAAGTGACATCGAAGCAGAAACTGCACTGCCAAACAAGGACTCGAACCAGCTTTAAAAGGCTGCTAACGTCAGGCATTCATTGTACAGCATCTCCCATTTTATACTATTAGAATTTACTTGAACTGTTATAGCCCGGATGTAGATGTTCCCCCAAAGCCTCGTGTGGTCATAGGTGGGGCTTTGGGGAAGTGACTGGATGATAAATGCGTGATGCTGGATCATGAGTGTGTGATACTGGATTAGTCCGCTGATGGGCTTATAGCTGGGTGTGTTGTTGGGAGGTAAAGCCTGTTGGGAAGAGGTGGGTCACTGTGAGTGTGGCCGGAATGGTATATATGCCTCTTGATCTTGGCCCTGCTTCCTGCCTGCCGTGCCCTCTCTTCTGCCTTGCCCTCTGCCATGGTGCCCTGCTTTGGAGGCAGTTGACTATGGACTGAAACTTCTACAAACCGTGAGCCAGCATAAAGCTTTCCTCCTTTAACTTGTGGATGTTGGGTGTTTTATCCCAGCCACAAGAAGATAACTAAGACACTACTATTCATTGTCTCCCTGTTGTTACTACTGTAATTTAGCCTTTGCCTTTTTAAGTATATACTCACAATTTAAATGACTACAGTTATTTGGTCTTTTGTGATATTTCTGTTAGAAAAACTTAATTTCCCTTCTGCGAAGAATACCTCTTCTATATTATAAGATTATACAGAAGGTAGTTGATGTATCCAAACCTTGACACGTGATAGGTACCCAATTCAGAGTAATAATGAGGTATTCTATTTTGAAGAATTTAAACAAACAGTTCTTTTATCAACCAAAGTTTTCAAATTGAATTGATTTTTTAAATTATGTTTGTACCGGAGAAAACACAATGGTAGTTTCTGCCAACTCTTTTGTAAAGAGTACAAAGGTAGCATATATGTTATAAGAAACCACTTAACTGAGCTTTATAATCAATTCATAGATAATACTTGCCTTGGTCCGAAAATAACAAAGCATAAATGTTTACTATTTCATACTTAACCACTTAGTACAGTGTGACAGATATTAAAGTGAACTCACAAATTCAAATAAACCTGGGTGCATTCTTATTCACAATCCCTTTTCTGTCTTGGATTCTTGCTAAGATCATTGTTTGAGACAGTAACATGGGACTTGCTGGTTGACCTTCAAAAGAACATTTTATATAAAACTGAACTCAATTCAAACTATTGGAGGGAAGAAAAGTATTTCTGAAGGTGACCAGTTAGAATATGTGACTGTGGCACCAAAACTATATTGAAATGTTTAAAATTATTGAATTTATAAACTCCCACAGCACCTTTTCCTGAACATTCTCATAGCCCTTACCTTTGCTGGACATGGCATATGTTTTATGCATTATCCTGCCGACCCTTTGGCTTCATGGGAGCCAAACTCATCCTGGATTCTTTGTTAACTACAGTAAATCGTGGTAAATAAATGACTGGATGGACACTAAAACTTAACATCCACTGTGCTTCTTTATCTTCAGGAGCACTAGACTCGACATTAAAATATCCAGATTTTAGTAACAGATCCTTTCATGTCTAAATTATACTTTTCTTGGATTTCATTTGATTTCTATTGGTTTCAAGTTCATCTCATAAATGTTAGTCAGCTTTCGATGACTGTGACAAATATGTGATGTAATGAACTTATAAAGAGAAAAATGTTATTTTGGCTCACAGTTTTGGATTTTTCAGTGTGATGGATTAGTTGGACCCAGTGCTTTTGGGGCTGTGGCAAAGCAGTACATTGTGGCAAGAGGCAGGTGGATGAGCAAACTGCTGGGCTCAGAGCGGGAGAGGGAGATTTGAAAGAGGCTGCTCCCAATGTCTGCTTTAAGGGCTCACATCCAATGGCCAGGAGGTCTCCCACTAGGTCCTACCACCTCAGGGTCCCACTGTCTACCAATATTGATTCAGGCTGGGGACCCATCTTTTAAACACATGAGCCCTTGGGAAGCACTTAACAGAGGAACAACCAGTAGGGATAAAATATCATAATACAGGAGGAAACACTGTATACTGTAGAACTCTGTTATTATTTTTAGAAAAAAAATTTTTTTTTGGTACCAGGGATCGAACTTGGGACCTTGTGCTTGCGAGGCAGGTGGTAGAACCACTGAGCTATTTGAATTTTCAAGCTTAGGCGTATCCTTTACATTATTGTAATATTAAGTTGTCTTTTTCATCAACATTTATATCACTTGATTAATCTTTACTTATAATTGGCTATGGAAACTGCATTCAGTCTCAAATTTACATCTCATTAGTGTTTATATTTTTTCTAGAAATACTTTACCTAAATTGCTATGGGTATGTTATGCAAGGCAAACTGTCTAGAATATTCAAATAAAACATTTGTCTATTGATATCAAACTTTACAGGTGTCATTAATCAAGAATTGTTAATAGTGTCTGAATTAGACATTTTCATGGCATGAAATCTAAGACAAAGTCTCAATAAGTGATCGGGAGTATCTTATTAAAGCTTGCATAACAGTAATATCATGTGTTTCCATAATATTTATCTTTGTAGCATGTATTTATTCCCTTTATCAATTTCCTTCATAGAAATTTATCTAAGGGGCTGGGGATTTAGCTCAATGGTTCTGCCACCTGCCTTGAAGGGCAAGGCCCAGAGTTCAATCCCCAGTACCAAAAAAAAAAAAAAAAAAAAAAAAAAAAAAAAAAAAAAAAAATTTAAAAAAA